GATTGATTCATAAACACCTACTTTAAAATAGGTGAGATATTTTAAAATATATCTATGACTAAATCACTTCTTCATAAATACACACACAAACAGAAGCCTGCACACAACAGGTACAATCCATATTGTCTTTCAAGTAATAACTCATGAAGGTTGAATCTGAAATCTTACATATTCCACATATTGTGTAGAAATCATTGGTTACAATTATTATTTTAAAATAATTAAGATTTTTTTAAATACCATATTTAAAGAATTCATTAATACATGTATGCACACCACAGGTTCCAAAAAATAAGAAGAAATGTGCTTTTTTAGATATCTAAATGCTGCGTAAACATTATATAATAACACCAGGAAAAAAACCCAAATAATAATGTATTATAAAAAAGCAAACACTATTTACTAATGTTTATTTTTGCATATTTTATGCTGTCAGTTTAGCATACCATAGACTTTTTATAATAAGAGACAAGTACATGTGTTTACACCAAAATAATCATTTATCAGAAAGATCACATTTAGCAATTATAGCTAATTTTGATGCATCAAAATTTGGATGGCTGAAGTGTAGTATAATACATTAAGCACAATTCAAGAGTGTAAGATTCTGCACTGTAAGATTTAACAGTGTTGTACAATTATGCTATACAGACTACATTATGTACATTTTAAATGCCATAAGAAAGAAAACATACTTCCACAGGTATTCAGTTCTAATATGGAAATGGACCATGTGGCTAATTTTAATGCTCTCAGTTGCATCAAATCTGGAAACAACTCCTAAGTAGTAGTCTTCTTTCACAGTTTTACTTCATAGAAATCAGGGGGGCTATTCTGAATTAAAAGATAAGTGATCTTCACTGAAGCCTTTTGATGTATTTTCCTTGTTTTAAAAGGTGTATTGAAAGGGGATTGTATTTTTAATAACCTACCAAATGATTTCTACACATCAGCGCCAGCTCTAAGTTAATCTTACTCTCAGGAACATTAAATATAGCTGGGCTTCTCCTAAGTCATCTAAAGTATATATACAACCACTTTTTCCCTCCTTTCCTTTCCATCAAAATAAGCTATATTAATAGAAACATGTTAATGTTCAGCCTGCACTATATTTTTTTAAAAAAACCTTGCAAAACCAGAGTTTGTTACTTGGAGAACAAGGAGTATATGAAAGGCAACTGCAGAACTGGACAAAGATGATTTCTGGAACAAAGATCTAAAGACTCAGAGGGCATTCACTGCTGCAAAAACAATGGATGTGCCCTTTCTATGAGCAATCAGGGCTTGAAGTTTAATTAAGAGAATTTTTTTTTCAATTAAAGCTTTGATATGCTTTAGCAGGCTCCAGTGTGTGCCTACCCTTGATAATGTCCCTTGTGCTGCTGTTCTTCAAGAGACAACAAAGCAAATATTTAAAGGCAGTGCCCTGTGCTTGTGGCTCCTTCTGTTTCTCCACTCACAATGTTGTTTGCTCTGGTGCCTTGTTAAAAAGCTTTACACAGAAAAGCTCTGTTTCTTTCCAGCATATCCAATCATTATACAACTTACAACATCTTCCTGGAAAGAGGTCAGTATACAAAATAGAGCTATTCTTTTGGGGGGAGAGTTGGGGAGAAGGGGAATGAGAAAATAGAAGAGGTAATAATGAAGAGTAAGCATCAATGTAGAGGAAACCTAATCGATCCATTACTCACCAAGCAAAATAAGAGCCTTTGCCAGTACACAGACAGGATTTACTATCACCAAAGGGTGAGCATATGTGTATATGCATGTGGATGTGTTAACAGAGCAGATTCGCAGATTGCAGGAGAGGTTTCAAAGCCTGACTTTCAGCCAAAATACAATGAAAAGAACAGTTTTGTTCCATTAGCTTGAACATTCATTCCTAGTAACTTGAAAAACCCAGGATACGTTAAAAAAAACAAAAGCAAAAATAAGTAAACTCATTCTACAGTATAACTTAAGCAGAATTTAAGAGTCTGGAAATTTCTTCAAGAAAGGCAAGAAAGAATGACAGAGCAACAAAGACTTTCTCTTCTCAATTATCAATCATTTGAAAATGCAGAAATAAGCTCATAATTGTATATACCACCCATAGAAATCACCTTCAGTTTATCAACTAAAAAGGTGGACGATTATCAGAAGCAGTTATGAAATGTTTAACAATCTATTAATTACTATTTTGTTTTTACTAATTTTCATGTACATTTAAAGATAAGGAAAGAATATGGGGGAAGAAAAAGGAATGCTAGATTTGAAACTCAGCCAGCCCCACATTTGCACCCAATTCTTCTGAAAGGTTTTGTGCAATCAAGGGGATATTATTTAGGAGAGAAAGAAATGGGGCAAGGAAACCCTGTTGCTAAGGAGATGTCAGGGCTAACATTCCTACATAAATTTCACAGTGCTGGGGTGGGCTAGGGAGAAAAGGAAGAGAAGAAAGAAAGAAAGAAAGAAAGAAAGAAAGAAAGAAAGAAAGAAAGAAAGAAAGAAAG